TATAGTGTTTTCTCGTTTTTTTATAAAACAAATAAAATTATTTATTCTTGAAATTATATTTATTTTATCTATTATTCTTATATTAATTCTATTTAAATTTCATTTTTTATTTAAAATTTTTTGAATTTTCTTATTTTGGGATTTTTTTTATAATTTCTTTTAAGTTTTTCTTATTTTTAATATTTTATTAATAAAATATTTTAATTATTTTGCGATTTTTAATGTTTATGATTTTTCTGATTTTTTTGAATTTTTTCTGATTTTTTTCAATTTTTAATGAATTTTAATGATTTTTAATGAATTTTTATTTTATGTATTTTTATATTTATTTTTTCGTAAAATATTAAAAAAAAAAAAAACCGGCACGTCATCGCTTTTGAACAGTACCGGTCACATTTTTAACTTGATGTACAAGTAAGCCAGATTGGAGGTTTAATATGCTAAATTTGTCAACTTGAGTGTTTAAAGTGCTTGTAAAATATTCTCAGGGTTTAAAGTGTAAGTGGTTACCACCTTGAAGGTTTTTTATACGATTTTCCCAAACAAATAATAACTTACATTAAGTAATTTAACTCATAACAATTAGATCATATTTTGCGCATAATGTAGACAGATCACTAATCATATTTAAAAAATATTATTGATAACAAAAACTTTTTTTGATAATAAACTGAACTAATTCAAATTAGACATCATTTATGAAGTTAAAATAGTGAAACATAATCCAACGTAACAAGAAAGATGACGAGTGTGATCGTTCATTTTTCGTGGAGTAGTAGTGGAAATGTAAAAGATCTTCACGGATATTCTTGAGATAAAATTTGTCAGCGTAAGAAATTGGGAGATATAAGTTTTCGTGATTTACAGAACTTTAACATGGTTTTATTGGCTAAATAACTTTAGCGTTTAATTGAAAAAGCCTGATTATCTATTTGCTAGGTATTTAAAGGATGCTATTATAGGAAAACAGATCTTATAGATCCAATCAAATCATATTCGCCATCATATGGATGGAGGAGTATGATTTTAGCTCGATTTCTGGTTAATAAAAAAACTAATCAAAAGAGTGGATACATGTAATTCCATTTTAGTATGGACTGACCCTTGGATTCCTGTTCATCGCCCGAACTCAGCACTACCAATATCTCAAATCAGTTTCTTAACACTCACTTACTGTGGAGAACTTTATTATTTCGAGGGACCGTACTTGGAATCTGGATTTGTTAAAGGCTTATATTCTTCCAGATGATTTAAAATCATTCGGAATATGCTGGTGAGTTGTTCATCACAATCGGATAGGATGAGTTGGCATTTGACAATCCCAGGAAAATATTCAGGGAAGTCAGATTATAGTATTGAATGTCTATACCCAGAGAGGGCTCCGCCCCTGAAGTGTACGGATTTAATATTAGACCTCTGTTGATTTTTTCTTGGAAACTAAGCTCCAAAGCTGAAACATTTTATTTGGTAAATAATTCGGAAAATTTACCAGTTACAAAGAATTTAATAACAAGAGGTATACAATGTGTTATATGTGGTACAGAGAAGGAATTAGTCAATCATGCATTTTTTGAATGTCCACTTGCTTTGCAAACTTAGGCGTTATCTAAAATTCCTTTAAACCTAGTTGGATTCCTCACGAAGTCGATTAATTGAATATCGATTAACTGTTTTGAGACTTTTCCAAAAGACTTTGACTTTAGTTACTTTCCTAGAATCTTATGGTATATATGAAAAAATCGGAATGCAAAAGTTTATAGGAATACAAATGGATGCCCCTATGAGATTTTTCGGGTTGCAAAATTATGGACTGGTCCGCAAATGACCAATTTGAGGAGTCAAGAAGATGTTTATCCTGTGGAACATGATTATCAAGATAATATTGTCCGTTGGTGTTATTTAGATTGTGCATGAAAAGAACATGATAAGTTTTCATGCCAAGGATGGTTTTCCTTCACAGTGGAGACATCTAGTAAGATCATGAATCAATGACAATTTGACTCAGTCTATCACTTTTACATGCGGAATGTGAAGCTTTGATATGGTTTATGCTATATATGAAGATTCAATAGTTCTTGGAGGTGAAGTTTGTAACATACTGTTTTTAATTGATGAATATGGTGTTTACACCGATGGAATGACCAACTTTCGCACCCCTTTTGGAGGAAATACATCGATGTAAGATGCTCTTTCCTCATTTCTCACTCCAGCATATACCAAAGGCAAATAATACAATGGCAGACAAACTTGCACAAAGTGTTTGAAATTTTCCTTCAGTTGTATACTATGTTGGTTCTTCAACACCAGCTTGAATCTCTAATCTGACATCGACATAAGGATATAAGTTTTATTTATATTATTTTGGTTTCCAAAAGAAAGTATAAACATAATCCATAACAGATGACAGATTTCGAATATTTTGTGGAATTTTCTCGACCTTTATAGTTTTTGTTTTGTCTCAAAACATGTTACAATCAAGTGGTGTAGTGGGATGTGAATTTCTAATGATTGCTAAAACTTTTAAATTCTAGTGCTATTGATTAATGGATTCTAACATTCTTAATAAAATCTTGTTGTTATTGATTTTATGATTGTCTAATGATTTACAAAATTCATTGCTATTAAAAATGTGATTTTGATGATTATATAACTCCATCAGATGTAGTGTTATGATGATTTGAATTCTAGACAAATTTTACTCATAAATAAAATTTCAAAAATCTTGCATCTATCCCTTATTTTTTAAATTAATTATACTGCATATTTTGATAAATCTTTTAAATATGGAAAAATATTTTCAAGTCTTTACTACTTTAACAAATATCTGGATTCTAAAAATCAACCAACTCTATATGAAATCTTGGGAAAAACACTGTTTTAAAACTGAAATGCAAAATATAACTAACTTTGTTTTCAATAAATTTATTATATCTTTTATTTTTATTTTCATTCATCTTAACTAATTTAAAAATTATTTTCTTTCCAAATATATAATTTAAAAGTATTTATTATAAAATTAAAAAACAGAACTTACTTATTTTAAATATTATACTATATATTTTACATTCTTATTTCCTTCTTTTAAACTACTTTAATGTATTGATCGTAATAATTTGACGTTCTTTATTTTACGTATCAATCATAATAATTTCACATATCTGAAAGAAATTATTTCAATAGTACAAGAATTTAAACTGGTTAACAAAAAAAATTTATTTTACATAACTAGTTAAACATGGGTATTCAGATACACTTTTGTATACATATTGGTTTTTCGGGTATCAGTTTGGTGGATTTTAAAATCAAACTCTATTCAGATATTGTAAATTTTCAGACGGAATTTGAGCCGAATTTTTCCGGATCTGGAATGGTTTGTAAAACCAAAAAAAAAGTAATTATATTTTAAAAAGGTTATTAAACAATACTCCCTCTGTTTTATTATAAGTGTCACTCTACAGCTGTGCACACGGATTAAGGAAACAATTAATTTTACATATTTCCTATATAAAAATACAGTTACCTATACACCTAACCATATTTTAACCAATAGAAAAATTAGTTACATAATAAAATTAATAAATTTTGCATTGAAAACTGAAAACGACACTTATTTTGTAACGCAAAAAATTCTCTACAACGACACTTAATATGAAACGGAGGGAGGGAGTATATAAAAAGATAAGAACTATTTTTTGCGGTCAAACTGTACACCCATTTAAAGCCTGTGTTGATATTAGCCCAAAATCGAGAACGCAGAACAGGCAAAACGAAATCAAAACGCCAAAAGCAGCGGCAGCGATCGTCTGTCGTCTTCACCCAAACACTTTCTTCTGCGTCACCGGAGACGGGTAAGTCTTTCCTTAAACCCTCTGCTCCGTCCATCTCATCGGAGAATCAATTGTATTCATTCTATTTTTTTTTCCTTTTCCACTCCATTCTTGTCTTCCTCCCCTTCGCTCTTTATAATTCCATATGCTTAAAGATAGATCTCAGTTTTCAGAGTGTTGATTCTTTTTCGAGATAGTGGTTTAGCTGAGCAGTGATAAGTTTTTTTGAATATTTCTGGTTGGTTCTAGCTTCTCTCTGCGATGGTGGATTTTTGTTAGCTAGTTATTACCAAAGTCTGGTTATTTTATTCCAGTTGTATCACTTTTGTTCTGCTTGCCTTGATGAGAATGTGTGTTATGTTAGTTTCCTGTTGTCTTTTAATCTGTGTATTGGTGACAGTTCCAAGATTTTATCTATCGGTGTCCACAGTTATTGCTTTTTGTTAGATTTCTTTATGTAGATGACGTAACAACTTGAATCACTCAGTATTCATTTGCTGGCTTTTGTATATTTTTATCATATTGGGTAAGCCTAGATCGATTCTTTTTTACAAGGTTATTGTGTTTACCTGAAACTAAACTACTATTTGAACGTGTTTATGTTCGGTCTTGGTGGATTGATTCAGAAGTGTGTTTATACTAGGGTTTCGCAACACGCAAGTAAAGATTGAAATTTAGAATCTTGATTGAATAGTTCAAAGATTTGAAAGTAAATCTGAATTTTGTGTGTTCGTGCTTTAAGGGTTATAGAAGATGGATATAATCTCACAGTTGCAAGAACAAGTGAATTCCATAGCTGCAATCACTTTTAATGCTTTTGGTACACTCCAAAGAGATGCACCTCCGGTTCAGCTTTCTCCTAATTACCCTGAACCACCATCCGCTGCCGCTGCTGCTGCTGCTGCTACAACTACGGCGGCTACTGATGCTGATCCTACCACCGCTTTTCCTGAGCAACCTAAGCAGCTCAGTGCTGATTTAGTCAAGGCTGCTAAACAGGTCTCCTTTTCAACTGCAATCTTTATCAACCTTATAGAATATACATCTATGCAGCCATGGAGCAATTTAGAGTTTATTAACTGTGTTCTCTTTAGCTCATTAGTTTAAAAGTTAATGGGAGTTTTAAGTCATCTGCATGATGTATAATGTCTTGAGGCTTAAAATTTGATTCTGATCTGAGTTCTCTCCTTTTTCTGCTATTTTTTGAGTCGTGACTTGGTACTTGTTTTGGTGAAGTTTGATGCTTTGGTTGCGGCACTTCCTTTATCAGAAGGAGGTGAAGAAGCTCAGCTCAAAAGAATCGCTGAACTCCAGGTTTCAGGAGTTTACTAGGACTTTAATTTTCTGGTTTGACAAATCCTCCCTTGAATCATGCATTTCTAATATTCTCACGGCTTTGCCTATTTTCTTTCTGTATCTTTTATAGGTAGAAAATGATGTTATTGGCCAAGAACTCCAAAAGCAATTAGAGGCTGCAGGTAAACTTCTTTCTTTTCTTCAAATGGAACAGAAGTTACAGAACTATGTTTGGTGTGTATACTTTCGTGATACTACACCACGCTAGGATCGGATGTTGTCTAATCATGCCCAAATAGTTGCACTGGTTCTAAAACTAGTGTATAACATTGTTTCTTGACAGAGAAGGAATTGAAGCAAGTTCAAGAGCTATTTGGACAAGCAGCAGACAATTGCCTGAACATGAAAAAACCCGAGTGAAAAGGATTAACCTTGTGTATCAAACTGATTCAGAAACTATATGATTTGGTTCAGCAACAATACATTTTAGGTTCAGAAGTAATAGAAGCTGTTATTTGGATCATCAAAAAAATTGTTGCACAAGCAGTTACAAGAATTTTTGTTAGCCAGCAACAACAAAGCAATAACTATAATATAACTCCGTTTTCTTTTCACCTGTCAAGACTTGTGGAGATCCTACCAATCTTGTCTGCTTTAGAATGCAGTATGAGTGTCCATCTTCTGTACAAAATCACACCAAAGGGTGTTCAAACCAGCCAATACTACTTTCCTATTTTGGTTGGGAAGGCGATCCTTTTCTTTTTCGGTTTCTTCTTTTCTGGTGTCTGAGAATATACAATCTGGCTTTCTTCAATGATATGTTGCACATCTTTGTCTTCTTTTGGAATTTTTGTTGCCAATGTCTTGGCGCCTTCCAAATCCCCTGCAGCCAGTAGAACCTGATACATCCTGCCAAACCAATAAACCATAACCAATGAACAAAGGATCTAATCAACTGCATTCTTTTGAACACTTAGCTAAATTTAGAACTCTTTTGTGCTAATGGATCTAGTCTACTGTTTCTTTTGGTTTGTTCCTTTTTACTACGAATCTAAACGTGCATATTTGCTAAAAGGAGGACAAGAGAGGCTTGCCTAAGAAAGCTAAGGACGTTGCAAGGAAGTGCTGCAGATTGGTACTCTTTCCACACCAGTAAACCGTTTTTCATGTCCTTGGCATTAACACAAGCATGTAAGAGAAAATCCAGACATTTTCTTGAAGGAACAAACCCAAGCTCCTCTTTCATATATCTTAACAAATCCATCCCTAGCTTAACTTCTGTTGGCTCCGTCTCCGCGATTGCCCAAAATACCTGATCCAAAAGAGCAAATCACTAAGAGGTTAAAGTACTGAAGACACATTTAGTAAAAGAGAAGGTAGCTACTAGCTACAGTCTCCATCTTGAACATTTATTCAAGTACATAGATTGTGACCGTTGCACATAATTAGATACATCTCCACTTTATCTTAGATGACTACATGAACAAATTTTCAAGAAACCCAAGAGAGAAACAGAATCAAACCTCGTCGAAATGATACTCCACATGGATGTCTTTCTTGGACAATCTAACCTTGTTCCGATTTAGCAAATCAAGAATATTGCTATACAAAAAAAAAAGAAGAGAAAATCAAGACTCAGACATTGAAGAATGTGGCCAACAGTAGTAACTAGTTATAGAGCAAGGGTGATTTACTGTACCTAGACTTTCTATTGCGGACAGCGAACAATATCATTCTGAAGAAACCATCTATCCAACTATTATCATCTTGCAGGTCATCAGCCAATTGAACCAGCGTATTCAAATCTCCATTTGAATCAGAGTATTCCTACGGAGATGATAATCATATCATTGGTATTCAATCAGTCAATAGTATATATTAAATACATGCAACTGTAAACTTACAATGAGAGATATGATCGATTTGGGGTCTACTTGACATTTGGTTTCCTTCATTTCTTCATATATACACAAGGCATCTGCCCTTCTTCCATGTGATGCAAGAGCCGATATAAGCTCACCTTTCAGCTCAGTTTGGTATCTAGCCGGAACATCTGGATCCAAGAGCACCTAAGGTAGAACACTATTTGAGATCTTACTCTAATTTCTAAGCTAACAGACAAAATGAGTGATTGTGTGCTTACCTGTTTTGCCTTCTCAAACTGGCCAGATGCTGCATATGCATCTATTAGGGACATGTAAATTCGCTTAGTAGCTTGAACTCCTGCTTGCTTCATCTCATTGTAGTACTAATAAACCACACATAGATTCAGGACATAGAGATAGAGAGAGAGAGTAAAGATTATGTAGTGGGGTTTACAAAACTCCAAGTTAAGACAAAAGATCTGGATTTTACCTTAGTAATAGTGTCTTCCTGGTTACAGTTGTTTATTAGATAGCCATAAGTTATAGAGTCAGGTTTAACGCCAGCTTCTTTCATTTGCTTGACGACCATTAACGCGCTGCATACATTTTTCTTCAAAAACATACACAAAGCATAAGCTGAGGACGTTCCAAGACACATTGGGAGTTCACAAAATCATTACCTCCCGGAAGTATCCAGCCAGTATACAATTGAACATGCTAGAGTTTGGTTCCAGATTGAAGTTCTTCAAGTTACCAAGCATATTATATGCACCTTCAAACTGCACATAACACCAAAAAATTTAGATCAAAACTTGACGCTTAGAGATAAACAAACAAAGCAGAAACTCTAAGAGACAACACAACCATCTCCACATTTGTATTATAAGGTTTGAGGATATACTCAAAGATGAAGTTAGTTGAAAGAAAGTTACATCTCTGATTCTAGTGCACATACGTATCATGCTCCGGAAGTTCTCACAACTTGGTTTCACACTCTTTGTGCACATGATTGAATGAATTCGTCGCACCTGAAACAGTAAAAGTATGAGCAAACTCCTAAACTCCATTAAAATATGAGCAGATTTATGAGGAAGACGATTATGGTGATCTCTCAAGACTCAATAGCAATAAATGAACCGCCATTTTAGATATTCTATGTGACCTTATTCTCTCAGTAGCTTGCCGTATATAGATTCAATGCGTACCAAAGTAAACTCAAGAACTTCATCAATGGCATGTAGCAATGAATGTAGAATATCTGTGGTTATTGTCACACCTGCTTCGCCCATTTTTTCAACTACATCAAGCGCAGTGACCACCTATGGCACGGAGGGAATCACCATTAGGGAGAGCACTAGAGAAAAAAAAAGAAGTTACAACAAATATACAAAAAAGCAAAATAAATACCTCATTCGAGTCACAGCTATACTTAACAAGCTTTTCGTACGATGTAGAAGAAGGCTTAACATCGAGTTCTTCATGCATCTTGTTGAAATTCATGATGGTATCCTCAACCTTTAATTGTAGACAATTAAGAGGCATTGGTTATCTAAACAAAGACTTTACAACACTGATATTTCCCAGTAATATGCATGAGAAGTCCCCTTTACCGTTAGATTTGGGGTGCAAGTAGAACAAATAGAGATGAGATCTGAAACGTTCTTCACTCCTTCATCTACAAATGTTAATGGAAAAACATATTACATGTTACTGTACAATGAGTCAACGTAAAGAAAAATTCTTTGTTTATGTCAAATGCTTCCTTACCACTTTCTCTTAGTGCCCAGAGGAACTTCCTCGCAACAGAATCTAATGAAAACTTGCCAAGGTATCCAAATATGTTTGCCAATAGGTCTGATGAACGAACTTTTGTTATGTCTATAATCTCAAAGAGCCTCTGAAGATGGTCCTTCTGCTCTTTCTTACACAGTGCAAGCAAATAATTTTCTGGTTTTCGAAAATCAAAATAATGTTAATACTTTCAAAGTAAGAGAGCAAAAACAAAACACAAGCGTGGTTTCTTACCTTGTAGTAATGTTAAACTGTCTCCATTACCATCAATATCACCACAAAGCTCCTCAATTTTCTTCCCGTCCCCAAGTTGGATCCAAAGAAGCATCTCATAGTAACCAAGCCTCTCAACCAAACCATCCCCCGTCTCGCTAATAACATCTCTAAAACTATGAAACTCATCAACCATATCCATATCAATCAAGTACTCAAGAACAGGACCGTAAACACTTTCCTCAATCTGAAACCCACGGTCTCTCATGGTTTTCAAAACCTCAAAAACTTTCTCTATGTGGTCAAGAGCGTATTCAAGATCATGACTCTTCTCAGCGAGATCAAAGTAAACACCAATCATTGCATTGTATTCGGTTACACTCATCTCTTTGGCTACCCTGTCGAAAGCGCCAAAGGTAGCCTCGGTGCCTAGCTTATGAGCAGAGTCTCTGAATATCTTAGCGAAACGACGTGAGAGAGCGTTCTTTTTGTAAACGCGTCTCTCTTTCCTTTCGCGAGAGAGCTCTTTGGATCTTAGGGAGATGTCAATAGGGATCTTAGTGTTGAAACTTGGTATCTTCAATATGTTCTTCGTCTCCGAAGAGTCAGTGGCTACTGAAATGTGATTGAATTTAAAAGATCATTGGTCCAAACAGAGTCACTTGAATGATAAAAATACAAAAACATACCATGTAATAAATTCGAGATTTGGTCGGATAATGGCGTTTCGTCGTGATCTGGACAAGAGATGTTCGAAAATTAAACTAGGTTTCAAGATTGAGATTGGTCTGAATTTGAAAATAGTTACCTTTAACGGAAACAGAGGAAGAGATTTTGGAGCTGATGAGGTCTTTGACGGCTTGAGAAGTTCCGGGGATGTCTCTGTTCTTTACGGCGGGGACGGATGGAAGTGAGGATTGGGCAGAGTTTTTGATTCGGGAGATGAAGACTGAGCTTAGTTTGTTAGCTTTTGAGACTACCATGCTCGCCTTTCAACTGAGAGATTGGAGAAGAGGAGGAAGGGACTTTTTTATAAACCTCAGACAAAACCCCCAGGGCTTGTTCTCCTATTTTGAAGATTAGGGGTGTTAATGCAATTAACTTAAACATAGGGGTACATAAATAAAACTTGTTAACATATTGGATTTCTATATGGGCAAATCTCTAAAATAACAATTTGACATAAAAATAGAACTCAAAAACTAAAATGACCAAAATAGCATTTTATCTTTTGAAAATTTTAATTTTTTTTTATTTTTCAAAAATTGAAATCTTATCTCTAAAACCCCACTCCCCAACTTTAAACTCTAAAACCTAAATTCTAAACCCTAAACCCTAAACTCTAAACTCTAAACCCTAAACCATAAATTCCACCCCTTAACTCTAAACTCCAAGGTCTAAATTAATTTATCATTAGGATATATGTGTATATTTATTTTTTTTGATAAAACGTTAAACGCTATTTTGGTCATTTTTATTCTTAAGTGATATATTTGAGATAAAACATCTTTAGTGCTATTCTAGTCATTTTCTTTTTTTACATTTGCACTC